ACCCCAAACATCTACTGAATGTCGATGCACCGGCTTGCTGCCCTTCTCTGAAGCTCTCCTCATTGCAACACCAGCATCAGAAGATCAGCCAGCAGCGCCTGAGTGCAATTCTAGAGTTACGAAGATCCCATCTGTCACACTTTTAAATAATTGGCTGATCGTTATGAATTCATTTGGTATTCATTGTGATAATGTTAATCAAGATGAATTAATAGAGTCCTCATACTGTACGCGCTCCCTGGGGAATTCCACCACCATTTAGAAATTAATTAATGGACCTATAATTTTCGTGGTGCTGCCCATGCAATCACCGTTAACGGTAGGCACGAAGCAGGTATCCGATCACAGGATGTCAGTGCAGGCTACGGCGTTAAAGCCTTACTGCTGATGTTCCCTTCCCTACAGACATCGGCTGAGATGTTCGAGGGGTCTGAAAGGAAAGCGGGTCTCCAGCTGCCGGTGCAAGGCTCTGGAGGCAATGCCAGGGTAATGGGATGGGATGCATCTGTCTACACCTGCATTTCTCCCCTGAGAAGCAAGTGCTGCTGCTCAACACACAGGACACTTCTTGGCTGCTTTTTAGTCACCCGAGTCTCCTGGGGCCGGAGATCAGACTTTCCTCCCTCCGTTTCCTCCTCCTACCACACATCTCCCGCGGGATCCAGGACGCTCCATGGCTCTGCCCACCTGCAAAGCAGCCAGGGTAATACCAGCCCCCAGCACATGAAGCACCGTGCCTGCACTGTTCCGCTCGTCTTTAGAGGCATTTTCTGAATGTCTCAATCTCTCCATTTAAGACTAGAGGTTCTCTTTCAGTTCTCTTTCCCACCAAGCTGGAAATGACGCAAACGGAACAAGAAAGACAGGAGCGAGGAAAGGGCGGAGGATGAGGAGTTGGGAGGCCTTGCAACCGCTCTGTGGTGATGGCTCCAAGGAGCAGCTTTCCTTTGTCACAGAGGAACCCTCCATCAAACATGTATTGTTTTGGGTGAGAGTGGGGAAGGGGCCACGGGCACCCCAAGCTCTGCCCGCTGGTGTTCCTTGGAGGTTCCAGCTGTGCGTTGCGTTTCTATCCAAAGCAACGCGTTACCATCTCTCCCACTCCCAACCATGTGCTCTCTCCAGATAGGTTTCTGCCTACAGCCGCACCTGGCAGAGCCGCTGCCTCCTGGGAACCCATCCTTGCTTGGGCCAGAAAGCTTCGTTTCCGAGCACTGAAGGGTTAAGCTCTGCAGGGCTGGGGAGGTCCCCTGGGTGCCCTTGCCTCCCAGCCCGCCGCAATCCCCCCACACCTCGAGCGGAGACAGCTTTGACATTTGAGGACTGCGCGTCGTGGGTCCTTAGGTAACGCCGTAAATCGAGCGTGGCGGGGTCTGCTCAACACTCGGCGCAGCTCCGGCGCTGCCCTATTTAATCAATGCTCCAGACAAGACTAAGTGCTCTTCAAAGAGACCCGGGCTGCAGCGCAGCTCGCTGCAACCAGAGTGACTCGGCAGAGGGATGGGTTTATCGGCCGGTCAGGGAGGCAAGTGTGGCTCTGAAGATGTAAGGGGAGAAGGCAGCACCATGGGGTCATTTTCACATCATGTCTGGTAAAAGCCTGTTCTGCCAGCAGTTTAAAACAGACGCAGTCAGCATTTAAAAAGAGAATTTAAAAGAGGCACTGCCATGAAGTTTTAGGTCCTAAATTAAAATTCCAGTAAGGGGAGGGATATCTTTTTACGAGACCAAATTTCTTTTTTCCTCCCAATGAGAAAAAAAAATCCATTATCACTACTGCTAGGGAATGCAACTGAGTTAGAGCAGCTGGCGCTCGGCGCTGATGGCTGAGCAGTGGACTCTGATGAGAAGGACCTCAGTTCACTGAGTTTCCCTGCCCGTCCCAGCTGGCACACATGCCGGAACCTCTCACCTCCCCAGCAGCACGCTGATTAGTAACCAGCGAATTAAACGTGATCTTTATTTTGCCAATGTGCCCTCATCAGCTCCGGTTCTCCAGGATGCGACATCCCGTGTTGCACGGAGAAAGAAGGGCCAGGTCGGGTGGCAGCATTTGGCACCCAAAACACACTCGGCCCCGACAGCTTTCGCACCTCTGTTTTGATGGGGCTCTGCAGGGAAAGGGAAGAGCTCGGTGTATTCGCCATCGCTGCTCCCAACACGTGGCAGCCGGTGCAAAACGGGGAGCGCAAGTTCCAGGGCAGCAAACGATCTCGCGAGCGCTGCCTGCTTTCATTGCCCCCCTGCTCCCCGGTGCTGTGCTCGGTGCCTCTGGGCTCATTACTAATGTGCAACCGTCCATCAGCCGGGTACCACTCTGGGACTTAGCGCTGGTTTGGAGCCCGTAAGAGGCCCTGGCTGTGGCGCAAAGGTAGAATATAAAAGAGACGCGCGCGTTTTTGGCACCTTGGCAAGGCTCATGCTGGCCCTGGCGCACGTGGTGCTGCCACGCTGCCAACAGGCAGGAGCCTGCTGGAGCCTCCTAACGAAGGAAAGGTGCCTGCAGCACCCGTGGGTGCTCAGGCCAGGCTCTGTCTGCCTTACCTTCTCGCTTCATCCCCATCGCAAGACACTTCTGATAGCGGCAGTACTGGCAGCGGTTGCGCTGGCGCTTGTCGATCAAGCAGTCCTTGTTGTCGCGGCAGGTGTAGGTGAGGTCTTTCCGCACCGTGCGCTTGAAGAAGCCTTTGCAGCCCTCGCAGCTGTAAACCCCATAATGTTTACCTGCGGGGGGGATGCGACTCGGGTTAAAACGACTCACTGAGTGTCCCGGGTGCCCCCAGCTCCCCTCTTTGCTCTCCCTCAGCACAAAGACCCATCAGCTCTTCCCAGAGTCTCTCCCAGCCATGTCTGGGGGAAGCAGAGGTTTCTCGGAGGCAAGAGCAGGAGCTAAAGAGCAGTGGCTTCGCCTTGACTTGACTTCCATAAAATCAGGATGTCCTCCGTGGGCTACAGCCTGCCTTATATGCAGGAAAAGCCCTAGCCATTTCTTAGCCATGCCTCGGGGTGAGGCAGAGCAGCAGTGAAACAAGAGGGGTCCCTCTGTACCCATCTGGACTCCCCACGCCAGCGACCCTGCTCTGCACCACGCTCCCACCCTCCTCTTCCAGCCCTGGAACCCAACAGGCACAGGAGATGTCCTTAAGGGCCTCACAAACTGGGTGACCAGAGCACTTCTGGAGCAGAAAGCTTTTAAAGCAGCATGAGAATAAAGGGAATTGGCACTGCCGCGAGTGGAGAGACTCCAAGGGAAGCACATCTTTTCATCTGGCGCTATGTGACAATACCACTGCGGATCAAAGGATGAGTGGAGAGAGGGCCCCTCACTAATGGCATGGATGTTGCCATTAGTCCATGGACGTGGCACTTTGGGACATGGTTTAGTGGGCATGGTGGTGTTGGGCTGATGATTGGAACGATGACCTTAGAGCTCCTTTCCAATCTTAATGATTCCTAGTTTTCACTTTCATTCAAAAATAATCCAGCCACCAAGCCAGGAAACACGAAATTGCTACTCTATCCTCAATTAGCTTAGTGGTGGACTTGGTAATGTTAGGTTAATGGCTGGACTGGATGATCTTAAAGGTCTTTTCCAACCTAAACGATTCTGTGATTCTATGATTCTAATGCCATGTCTTCAGACGGGCTATGCTGCTCCAGGCTCAGGATATAACACCGCTGCTAAGTAGAGACCCGGGCTCTCCTGGCTCAGGTCAGAGCCTGCCCCAGACCAGATGGGCTGGGAGAGCCTGGTCAATAAGGGACTTTTCGTCCCCTCCTCTGAGGGCACGGGTGGCTCCTCTCCCAATGGAGAGGTCCCACATGTGCTCGCTGTGCTGTAGGGACCCGGGGAGCCATGCAAGCCCTCGCCACGCTTTCCCAGGGCATCCACGCGCCGCTGTGAGCCCCTCCCGGGGAGGCACCAGCCTTACCTGAAGATCTGTCCCCGCAGATGGCACATATGTGCTTGGTGAAGGAGGCCATCGTTCCTGAGGGATGTGCTGGCACTTTGAGGACTCCGTTGAGCCCCAGGGGTGGCTTAATGTCCTCTGAGCTGCTGACGGGGTTCATGGGCGAGTTGAGCTGTCGAGACAGAAGCACGGTGCTCAGCGGGGAAACGGGGCATGCAGGTGCGGGGCCGAGCCAGCTCCGCAGCAGGGCTTGCCTGTGCACCTAGACATGGGGCGGGAGGGCAAGCAGGGGACAAGCTTCCAATGGGGACATGCACCGCTTAAAACACCCACCCAGCAAAGCTGCACCAGGAGGAGGATTTGGGCACATGTGTCCAGTGACCAAAGGCACAGGCGTTCATCTGCTGCCCTGGCATAAAAGCCGGCACGGCTCTGAGCTGGCAGCAGGATGCTACCGGGTCTCGCTGCCGGCACCGGGGCAGAAGGAGCAGGACAGGGCCGGTCCCCTGTGCACCTCCAGGAGCAACGCAGGGCTGACACCGCCCGCCCCACGAAAGACGCTCCTGCATGATTGAAGGGGCAGGCGAGTTCCCCCTGTACTGCCAGACCCACAGCCACGGCACAGCCCCCGTGGCCAGGCGCTCGCAAGCCATCCCGGCTTCACGCTGCCTCGGGATGCAGAGCAGGGAAGATGTTTTGCAGCGATGGTTCCTGGGAGAGCTGCTGGCTGGGAGCGAGCGCTTGCACGGATGATGAAGGCCAGGACACTTGCGCTTTAGCTTTGCAATTTATAGACATCCTTTTAGCATTATCTCTCCAAAGGAAAGCTTCACAGCAAATAAATAGATCCCAGATGCAATGGGGCCTGGCTTTCTAGAGCTGGCTTGGGTGGGACACTTCTCTGCAACTTCCAGCAGCCTGTCCACATGCCTCTCCTTCCCTCCCCAGTGAGCTCGGTCCCCAACAGCTGGTGAAGAAAGTGGAGAATTGGGTGGAAGCTGGGTGCTTGCATGGCCCTGTGGCGCTGGTATCGAGTGAAAGATTCCCGAGTTGATTCCCACACTGCCCTGTGCAGCAGAGCAGGGCTGTTATTCCCCCATGTACAGAGAGAAACTGAGGCATGGAGAAGAGGAGGCTGAGGGGAGACCTTATCGCTCTCTGCAACTACCTGAAAGGAGGGGGCAGTGAGGTGGGTGTTGGTCTCTTCTCCCACGGAGTTAGCGATAGGACGAGAGGAAATGGGCTCAAGCTGCACCAGGGGAGGTTTAGATTGGATATTAGGAAAAATTTCTTCACAGAAAGGGTAGTCAAGCATTGGAACAGGCTGCCCAGAGAGGTGGTAGAGTCCCCATCCCTGGAAGAGTTCAAAAAATGTGTAGACGTGGCACTTGTGACATGGTTTAGTGGGCATGGTGGTGTTGGGTTGATGATTGGAATGATGATCTTAGAGGTCCTTTCCAATCTTAATGATTCCTAGTTTTTACTTTCATTATAAATGATCCAGCCACCAAGGCAGGAGGCATGGGGTTGCTACTCTCCCCTTAATTGGTTTAGTGGTGGCCTTGGTAATGTGAGGTTAATGGTTGGACTGAATGATCTTGAAGGTCTTTTCCAACCTAAATGATTTGATGATTCTACGATTCTATGGAGATGGAGGACCGACCCGTCTTGATAAGGCAAGAAGCTCACAGCAGCCCTGCCCAGCCCAGGGCAGGGTCAAGGAGGTCTGGGGGTGGACCGGGGAGCCAGGCTCGGTCACCTCGGGATGCAGCGCCGGCCAGGACCGCTGCGGCTGTGCTGTCCTCCTGGGGACCAGCCTGCCAGGGACTGTCGCAGAGCCTTCCTCCCTGCCAACTTCTAAATCCAGGTTGGATAGGCAGGATTTGTGCTTTGGTTTGTTGTGTTTCTCTAATAGAGATACTCAGCAATTGCACTTGTCACAAATTAATTCAGGGAAGTCCCATGGCTTGCGATCTGTCAATTAGAGCAGCGCAGCCGTTCCTCTAGCTTTAAAGTCTCCAGGCTGGTGGGGAGTATTTGGCAGGCAGATGACTAATAACCGCAGAACAGAGCAAGGTAAACCCACCCTGGAGAAATGTGATGGATCTGCCTCCCTCTCCCACCCTGCCCGTGCCAGCTGATGAATCAAAGGCAGCTGAGAGCCGGTGCCACCGAGGGATACGCTCCTGGGCTTTAGCTGCTGTTCGGGTACACTGCCATAAGGCAGAGACGGGAGGGACAAGCGGGTTCCCAGGCAGGAGCATCTCTTTTTGGGATCTGTGGGTCCCCAGGCACAAACCCTCTCTCCATGCTACTCTGAGGGCAGGGGCTGCTGGCACTGCTGCGGCACATTACTCCATGACTTTGGAGGTCACCAGCCCTGGCAATTCCTCCCAGTGCACTTTCTGGGAAATGGAGCCATTTCCCAGGTGCAGCTGGTGGCCGTGGCTCGTGTCGTGCCGCAGCACTGGCCGCTGCCCCATGGGAGCGAGGGCGGAGGCCAGCGGCTGCCTGCTGAAGAGAAGCCTTTCGCCACCAGCAGCCCCCAGAATCTGCCCAAGCAGCCCCCCGAGAGCATCTGCGGGGACACGATGGGCACAGCAAGACGGGGCGAGCGCTGCACCCTGCCCCTGCACCAGCCCAGGAGGGTGGGGGGGTCCCGCCACCCCCTGCAGCCCCATGCATCAGCAGGATGCGCCGCTCCGAGCTGAGTCAGCCCTGGGCTGGGGTGGGGGAAGTCATCAGTTCCTCTCGCAGCGCCGGCCCAAAACCTCAGCGGAGGCACCATGTGCACCCCAGGGTTCCCACAGCACCCCGGCGCCTGCCCCGTGCCTTCCCCTCCCCGCTGGCAGCCGCCGAGCAAAACCAGCAGCACGTGCAGGCAGGGAGGAGGCAGAAGGGGAGGCAGCGGCCCCCCGCCTTGGCACAGCACTTCTGCTCCGGGGCAGGACAACTCCAGCTCAGCAAGTGAGCGGGCATGAGGGAGGAACCGGTGCTCTGCTTCCTCAGCCACGCTGGGACTCCTCGGCTCCTCTCCCTTCCCTGGTCAGTTCACTGCACCAGGGACTGAATTCTGTCCCTTCTGGCAAGCAGAGCTTTATTCCTCTTCCCATCCAAAAAAAAAAAACCAAACCCCCTTCTCCAGTCCACCCGGCACCCTTGCAGCCCTGGAAAAGCCTAATCCCGGGTCTGATATCTCCCCACTCGCCCCCGGGCGCCCCGAGCTGCTGCCAGCGA